ACCACGCCTGGCCCATGAATTTTTTTTTTAAATGTATTCTATCTGCGAAGAGGCAGAGGCAAGCGATTCTCTCAGATGGAGGCCAACCTGGTGTACATAGTGAGTTCCAGGCTAGCTGTGGCTACAGGGAGACCATGTCTCAAAAAGAAAAAAAAATTATTTGTTTAAATAAAAAATGTATTCTTAGATTGGTGGCTCACATTTTAAATCCCTGCACTCTAGAGGCAAAGGCAGCCCGATCTCTGAGTTCCAAGGACAGCCAGGACTATATAGTGAGGCCCTATCTCAAAAACTAAAACTAAATTAATGTTCTTGTTTTCTCTTATTCTACAAGGACCATACCACACTAATGTTCCATTGATTCGTACCTCCTTAAGCCTGTATTGCTTTCACATGAATTCCCTAGAGGGCGACAGAGCCGCTCCCTCTGTTGTTAGTCTGTTCAGCTGCTCGTTCAGGAGCTTGTGACCTCAAGAGGGAACAGTCCAGTGAGAACCTGTGCTTGGTGGTATGTGTGCACTAGGGTACAGAAGCTGGACACCTATCTGGAGTATAAGGAGGCTGCATCTGCTTACCAAGAAGCCTGGAGTGCCCTCCGGAAACGGCCATTTGCATCCTGGATCAGAAACCCACCCGACTATCACCAGTTTAACTGAATGTTGCTGGTAGCAAGACCCTTCGTATTGATCTGCTGCTCCCTTCCTGCTCATCAAGACCCAGCTTTTCAGAGGCTCTAGAGTACCTTCGTGGCTTCATTTTTCTGCATAAAGAACATTCCAGAGCACCACATCTCTTTTGTGTAATAGAGATGGACTCCAGAACCCGGAACGATCTATACATGATTAAAGAAGCTCTCTGCCAAAATGGCATCGAACTAATGACCTTGGTATCTGCCTTCAGTTATGCTTTATTGGTTCTCTAAAATACAGATTTATGATACTTTTAAAGCAATCTGCAGCAGCTGTTTTATGTGTTTCTATATTGATTCAGAAAATATTTACTGAGCTGAAATGATGTTCAAATGTCTGGAAACTTTACAGCTTTGCTTGGAATAGTGAACACATACTGCTTATTCCTAGCCATTTGGGGGATCCATTTCCCAGACTTTGGCAGTCAGACTTGATTGAAGGTAATGTTATTCCTAGGCTCAGCAGTGAGCCTATAAGCTAGCCTTGGAAAACTCTGTTCTCAGATTTATCAAGAGTGAGTTTGTTTGTAGTTTTTTGAGACAGGGTCTCCCTGTAGCCCCAGCTGGCCTGGAACTCACTATGTAGACCAGGCTGGCCTCGGTCTCAGAGATCCATCTATTTACCTCTGCCTTCTGAGTGGTAGGATTAAAGGCATGCCCCACCACTCTCAGCTACTTATTTTTTTGAGACTGTCTCACTATGTACCCCACAGTCCTTGACTTGCAATCCTCCTGTCTCAGCTTCCCAAATGTGGCAGATTATAGGCCTCTACCACCATCACACCTAGCCCAAGATATTCTCATTCTCCTCCCTCCCTTTCAGTCCCTCCCTTTCTCTCTCCTCCCCACCCCCAATACCTTTTCTTTTTGAGACAGGATTTCCCCTCTATATCCCATTCTGGCCTCGAACTCACCATGTAGTTGAAGATGACCTGGAACTCTGATCTTCCTGCCTCTGCCTCCCAAGTGTTGTGAGAACCACTGTAATCTTGTAACTGTCAGTTGCCATCTTTTCCTTCCTCATAGAGACAACCAGCCAAGAATGAAGGCAACAAAGAGGAGACAGCTTGCTTTATTTATGTGAGGGGTATACACCCCCAGCATGCATGTATGGGTAAGCACCTTCACCAGCTGAGCCATCTCCCCAGCCCCCTGTGTTGGTTAAGCCATTGGAGTTTGTTTTCTGACTTTCATCTGAGAGTTCTAAAAGGCCACAGGTTCCTACAGCAAAATCAGTAGCAGACCTGACAACCAGTCCTGCTTGACTCACCTCATAGGTAACCCTTGGCTTCTTCGCACCTGGAATATTTTTACCATTTTAATGGGATATGGTTCACATACCATAAAATTCACCCTCTTAGCCAAACGCAGTGACTCATACCTGTAATCTCAGCACTTAGAAGTTGAGGCAGGAAGATAGCTGTAGGTTCAAGGCCAGCCTGAGTTGCATAGTGAGTTTGAGGCCAGCCTGGGGACTACATACCAGGCAACAAAAACAAAAACACCAGGGCTGGAGAGATGGCTCAGCGGTTAAGAGAATTGACTGCTCTTGCAGAGGACCTGGGTTCAATTCCCAGCACTCACATGGTGGCTACAAACTGTCCTTAACTCCAGTACCAGGAGAATCCGAAGCCCTCTTCTGACCTCCGTGCCACTGCACAACACGGGTCCACTCACACACATGCAGCCAGTACATACATACACATTAAATAAAAAGAATAAAGCCGGGAGTGGTGGCACATGTCTTTAATCCCAGCACTCGGGAGGCAGAGGCAGGTGGATCTCTGTGAGTTCAGGGCCAGCCTGGTCTACATAGTTCCAGGACAGCTGGGGCTACAGGGAGACCCTGCCTCAAAAAGAACAAATAATAATAATTTTTTTTTAATTTTTATGCTTTGAAGAATTTTTTTTTCTTATTATACACCCACTTCCCAGGTAGCACCCTCCCATAGTAAATAAAATATTTTTTAAAAAACCACCTCCACCAGAAAATCAGGCTTTCCAGTAGTCTACATTAACTCTATCTCTTTTCACTGACCCACACAGCAGCCCTCAGGACACCTGGACTGGCAGGGACTTATATCCAGAGTATTACATAGCTTCCTCTTTTGAGATTTTTTTTTCTTTTTTTTTTTTTTTTTTTGGTCTTTTTGAGACAGGGTCTCTCTGTAGCCCCAGCTGTCCTGGAACTCACTATGTAGACCAGGCTGGCCTCGAACTCACAAAAATCCACCTGCCTCTGCCTCCCAAGAGCTGGGATTAAAGGCATGCACCACCACACCTGGCCGTTTTTATGCTCTTAAAACCCAAATTTAGAATCCTGTCTGTGCCTTAAAAGTTACATCTCTGGGGCTGGAGAGATGACTCAGCAGTTAAGAACACTGGTTGTTCTTGCAGAAGACCAGGGTTCAAATACCAACACCCACATGGCAGCTAACACCTGTCAGTAACTCCAGTTCCAGGGGATCCGACAGCCTCTTCTGACCTCCGTGGGCATTTTGCACAACACAGGTGCACTTACCTACATGCAGGCAATACACGCATACAC